TGGTAATCAGTTCACAATATATACATATATCACAACGTAAACATATATTGTACACCTTAAATTTACAAAATGTTACGTATCAATTATATCTCAATAAAATTTGAAAAAACAAGTTAAAAATGAGTATGAGTTATGAAATACATTGTAAGATCAACACACAACAGTCAATCCCATTTATACATATTAGTCGTGAACATGTGGAAGGCAAAATTAAAAACAATGACATCTACAGTTTCTCTAAAGAAAATAAAATATGTTGGTATAAGTCTAACAAAATACATACAGGATCTATATGCTGAAGATTTCAAAGCACTAACAAGTAAAATCAAAGATCTAAATAAATGGAGAAACATAATGTATTCATGGATTGGAAGACTCAACACATTTAGAGCTGTCAATTCTTCTGAAATTCATCTATAGGTTTAATGCAATTCTTACCCAAATCTGAGAAAGGTATTTGTAGACATAGACAAACTTATCTGAAATTTATACAGAATGATACAGCACTTAGAATAACTAAAGCAAGAATAATGTGAGAGAAAAGACTCTTTGATAATAGGACCTACTATATATCTATAGTAATAAAACTGAGTGTTGTTGATAGAGGGATATACATAGATAATGAAACGAAATAGGGGGACTAGAAATAAACCCATAGATATATACCCAACTGATGTTTGGCCACGGTATAAAAGCAGTTCAGTGGAAGAAAGACAGCTTTTTCAACAAATGGTTGTGGAACGATTTGACAGGCATAGGCAGAAAAAAAAAAGTGAACCTTGATGTAAACCATACTTTACACAAAAATTAAATCAAATGGTTCATAGATATAAATGTAAAACTTAAAACTGTAACACTTTCGGGCCTCCCCTGGTGGCGCAGCAGTTGGGCGCTGGGCTGTGAGGCTGCCCGCAGCGCCGGTTCGATCCCTGGCCGCCGGCGAGGGTCCCACATGGCGTGACAGACCTCTCCTGCTGCTCCCACTGCTCCTGCTGCTCCCCTCGGCAGTATATTTCGTCGGTCTGCCTGTTCTGTTCCCCACTCTGGCTCTGGTGAATTCTCTCACCCTCCCGCGCTTCTGACTGTACCCAGTGCTTGCATAAATAAATAAATCTAAAACAAAAAACAAAAAACAAAAAACCTATAACACTTTCAAAATAAAAGCATGTGGGATATATTCAGGATCCAGGGCTAGGCAAATTCTAAGACTTAATGTCAAAACAGGATCCATATGGAAAAATTGATAAATTGCACTTCATCACAATAACTTTTTCTATGAAAGCCCATGGGAAAGGATGAAAAGACAAACTCAGTCTGGGAGAAAATATTTGCAAATGACTATACAACAAAGGACTAGTATCTATAATATATAAAGAACTCTCAAAATTCAACTGTAAGAAAACAATCTAATTAGAAATGTATAAAATATCTGAAGAAATTCTTCATTGAAGAGGATGTCATGTAAATGAAAAAAACTGTAGACATCATAGGTACTAGGAAAATACAAATTAAAACCACAATGAGATAGCACTATATGCCTATCAGAATGGCTAGAATCAAAAATAATGGAAACAACAAATGCTGACAAAGATGCAGAGAAACTGGATCTATCATACATTGCTAGTAGGAATAAAAATAATATAGTCATTTTCCAAAAGTATGATGCAGTGAAACAGGACAGGTCTCTCTTCCAGTCCCATCAGATAAGCATGCTTATCTGTTGCATTTAACAAGTTCATCTTCTTGCATTCTAAGGAAAAGGAAGGATATCCCTGAGAGGATAACAAGGAAGTTAAACATCTAAGGAAATTAAACCTCAGGTGTTAACATAGCAAGCTGGTGCCCACCTGAAATCTCAGTATACCCGCATCAAAAGGACATGCAGACCCTAACCATCTCCCTTCTGTTTTACTCCTTTGTGTAGATACCCCTGCCCTCTGCCAAAGGGCAGGATGGTGATCTTTCAGACGGAGTCTGCTGCCCTCCACAGTTTGTTGACAAATTAAACTACTTTCCTTCTCCTCAAACCCCATTTCCTTTTATTGGCTGAGGGAAACTGAGGCCAACGTTTGGTATCAATTATATGGCACTCTTTCCAAAACTAAACATGCACTGACATACCATACAACCTAGGAACTGCACTGCTGGACATTTGTCCCAAAGAACTGAAACCTATGTTCATACAAATTTGTAGACAAATGTTCATAGTAGCTTTATTTGTAACCGCTGAAATCTAGAATCAATTCAGATGCCCCGCAATGAATGAATGATTGAACAAGTTGTGATGCATCTATACCGTGGAATACTACTCAGCAATAAAAGAAACAAACAGCTGATACATGGAACAACTAGAAATGAGCTCCCCAGAATTACCTTGAGTGAGAAAGGTCAATCTCAAAAGGTTATGCTTGGTATGATTTCATGTAACATTCTTAGAGGACAAAATTATAAAGATGGAGATTAGTTTAGTGCTTGGGGGGTGCATAAGGAAGATAGGGGGAAAGATAGGTATGGCTATAAAAAATTTATAGTGGGGTGTTGGCACTGTTTAATACCTCGACTATATGGGCACAGGATACTGCACATATGATAACATTTCATGGAACTATACACAGGGAAATGGGCACATGTAAAATTGTTGAAACTAGAATAAAGTGGATGAATTATCACTGTCAATATCTCAGTTATGATATTTACTAGATGCATGATGTTACCCATTCGGGGTGAAGGGTATTAGAGATTCCTCTGAATTCTTTCTTACAACTGCATGAAGATCTACAATTATCTCAAAATAAAATTTTTGTAAACATGAGCATGAGATGATTTAGGCTATAATTCCCCATTCAAAAAAAGTAGAGAAAAATAGTTTGACTTGAATAAGACTTGGTACATGGGACTAAGGTTAGGACTCACTAGAAATTGGAGTTCCCAGTTCAGAAATTAAGACTGGAACTTATACAAGGACCACCAGCATTTATGCTAATAAAGAATCTTTCAGAGAACAGGACCATTTGATTATAATGAATTGTTTCAAGCCATGAGGTTTGGGGATGATTTGTTATGCAGTGATCAGAATATTAAGCAAGGGGAGCTAGCAATTGTAGCCAAATAAATGAACATTTAAATCTCAGTGATTTTAAATATTTGGATCCATGTTTGCCTCTGGCTGCATCCTGAAGCCCATTTTCCTGAATACTCTTTGAGCATGTTGGGGTGATGATAACAGTTGGGGGATGCAGATACAAAGGAAACTGAACAGTTACTGTCCTTGAAGAACTCAAAGAACTAGTCAGACAAAAGTTTTCATCAGTGCATTACAAGACATGAAAACAGTTACAAGGCAAAACATCAACAAGTTCACACTAATATACTACAGCACAAATTGAATGCATGTGGCATTGTATGGCTACCCAAGCCGCAGGATGGAGCTAGACATTTTGGACCCTTAAGGCAACATTTCAGAAAGGGCCCCTTTTCCTTTGTTAACAGTGAAATAAACATCTCCAGAAAAGCAGGGGTGAGCTGGATGATATTAACACTTCTGAAAAAGAAAAAGGAGGTAACTTCCAGGACAATTATTCTTGTTTTAATATTCCTTTGTTCTCTGATCCCGATAAGTAGTTTTTGGCAGGCCATGATTTCTCTGAGCATGAATTTCCTCACCTATAGACTTGAGATAACAACAAGAGAGTAGTGGGTTTTAACTCACTGGCGTTGCTACATTCCAAAGCAGGAAATCAGAATTGGAATCTCAAATCTACCAATTACTAGCTGTGTGACCTTGGATACATCACCTCCTCTGCCAATCCCTACCCCCTCCTCCATCAATTTCCTGTTCTGTGACCTGAAGAGGTTAAGCTGAATCATGCAACACTTGAGGCCACAGACAGTTTAGTTTATTCTGAGAGTTTAAAAAGTAATGATATATATGAAAGTACTCTGTAAGCCATAAAGTGGTATACAAATGTTAGGAATATGGATATTATCCAGTCCTATGTTGAAAAAAGCACTGTAGCTCTCTCCTAAATTTAGGGACTTAAAATATAAATGGGTACTGTCTGTCAAGGCAGCCATTTCAGGCCCTCAGAGGATTCTCATAATTCTTTGTAACTATCACTCATAAAATAAACACAAATTTGGACTAGACTGTCTCAGGCTCAGCAGGGCATCAGCAGTGCTATTGTCAGTTCAAGGTTGGCTCTTGGCCCAACTCAGGATCTTAGGGACTGCTAGAACAGTGGTGGCTGAGGTGAGCCACCCCAAGTTATCTTCAAGCCCCCTTAATAGTTGGTAGAGACCCTTTCCATGGGACTGAGTCCTCTTTGTGGGATAAAGCAAATTTCTAAGGTGTCCTTTCTGTACACACACACACACACACACACACACACACACACACACACAGCCTTGAAGGACATCAAAGTTTTGCCACTTTCTCAGCTATTCTTCCAGGATTAGGGCAACGCCCCCATTGATAAGCAGCTTATTGGGGCAGCATTTGCGAGGCCAGCTCGTCTTGCGCCCTAGCATCAGCGCGGGACCAGACCAGGTGCACCCGGAAAGGTCCTTGTGGTGGAGGAGAGGGATTGCGTCCTTTCAGACAGATATGTCGGACGGGAGCCTGGCTCTCCTGGGCGGACGCCCGTGGCGGGGAACTCCTAGAGACAACCGCCACCGAGCGGGAGGAGGGGCCGGTGGAAACGTGCGGTCCCTTTAAGACCCCAACGCTCGCTTAGCCAGAGGAGGGGGGTGCAGTGGGGGCGCTGCGTGATGGGAAAGTCGCCGGCTGAGCCTCACACTTTCTCCCGATTTCTTAACTTTCGGGTCGGGGGAGCGGGAATAAAGCCCTTGTGCCGGGGCGGAGACGCGGTGCGGGCTTGCGGCGGCTGCTCGTCCGCAGACTTCCCGCCTGCGCCGAGCGGTCGGCTTCTCCGGCCAAGTGGGGAGCGGGCAGCGGCGGGCAGGTGGCCCCGGGAGTCTTGCGAGCCCGCTGCTTCCTCGTGGTGAGGGCGGTGATGTTTTTCCTCCCACCCACTTTGGAGTCCCCCCTCCCCCTCGCGCGCACTCTAGCTCTCGCCACAACCTGCGAGCCCCAGACCTCGGAGGAGCGCCCCGGGGAGCTTGGAGCGCGCGCACGCTTGGAAGACAGCGGAGGCCAGTGGCCAGGTCAGTGAGCAGTGCCCGGCGCCCACTTCCCCTACCTTCCTTTCCAGCCTCTGCACAGGTGGGGTAGCTTCTGTTGATTGGAGCTGCCCCTGGAAGTTCCCCCAGGGTACCCAGAACTCCTGGGACCTGCCATCGCAACTGGCTGTAAGGTCCAGCTGCCAGCCGCTGCCGAGAGTTGGGGCCTAGGGCTCCTGACCAAGGCAGGTTGGGGATTCTGGATTTGAACTCACCACTCCTGCTGGTTTGGCCTCTGTACCTCCAGTGTGGCTTGGGGGAGGCCACTTGCATAGCTACCTACCGGGTTCTGCAGTCCTCTCCCTTATTGCGGGTGTCCAGACCAGACCCTATTTTCACGCAGGCTGAGTTGCCCAGGACCAGTGGGTGATTAGTATGTGCTAAGGTTAATGAAACTGGGCAGGCGGGTTAGTGGCTCCTCTGTCCTGGGGCATCTGCCTCATTTTCCATCCCAGTCCACTGGGGTCAGAGTTGGATAAGCTGGGTTCAGGAAGCAGCAGTCTTGCCAGCGTTTAGGGCCTGGAGAGCCTGCCTTCTGGCCCCTCTCAGCCCTGCCACTAACTCTGTGACATGGACCTGGAGTGATCGGAGCTCTCTGGGCTGCAGGGTGCCCACTTTGAGGGTGGATTGTTGGCGCAATCAAATGAAATGATAGCCGGTAAAGTGTCTCGCAAGTCACATCCAAGGCGTTGTTTGTCAAGCTAAGCAGCAATGAAGGCATCGGACTCTGACAAGAGATTCGCGGGACCTAGACTGCCATTTTTCAGCGGTAACCTACCACCAGTGAACTTTTCTTGGGTGGTAGAGTAGGGAGCGGATTTTTAACTGATGGACACTGAGCTTCAGACTCTAGTGTCTTCTTATTGTTTGTCAGAAAGAGAATCGCTACCCTGGGGGCCGTCCCACAGATGATAGTGAATGTGAGATTACAAGGTCAGTCAAGCTTCTCGGGAGGATTAAAGAGACACCTCGGGGCGGGAAGAAGGAGCTGACATGTGCTCATCTCTTAGCTTTCCTTTGGGAATGGCTCTTGGAGACCTCTTCTGAGAACGGATGGACTCCCCACACTTCCTGGCCCAGATTGCCTTGCTGGGAGAGGAGTCCTGGGTTCCTAGTCCTGATGCAAATGAACAATGTGAGTGCTTGTTTCTTGGAGGCACCTTAATTGATACATTTCTGTAGGTTCTGACTTGTTTCTTGTTCTCCTGTGAAGCCCAATCACCCTCCCCCTCTGTCAGTAGCAGGGTTTTGTTTTCTTTGTTGCTTTCTTGTTGGGGGCCTAGATCTCCCCTGAAACAAGTCAATGGACACAATTCAAAGTAACCTGTAAAACAGCCAGTGCAAGTTCAATGGCACAACGGCCTGTGTGAAGCAGAGAGTTAATGCAGAAATAACTCCAGTTAACTGGGTCAAAGTATAATTTGAAAAATTAAGGACAGTTTGGCTCTTTGCAAGAATGAGAGTGGGCATGTTTGCTGAGCAGTACTTGCTTGTGTTTATTGTTGTAGTCCTAACAAATGTCTCGAACAATCCTTATACCCCCCCCTCCAAAGTTATAGAGCTCAGAAATTGAATGGTGAGGAACTCTGGGGAGGGAACTCTTCTTGGTCTATATTTCTGTACAGAATACAAAGGCAGGCTTCAGGATCTTGTAAATCAAACGTGAATATTTATAAAGTGATTCGTTTTCTGATGTTCTCCATCACTGTCTGGGAGGCCGCACAGATGACAGGAATGCCAAAAAAGATTAATTGCACTCTAGTCACTGACTTTACTATTTGCTCATAACATTAGTTGGGACCCAAGAAAAGCAAAAAAAAAATTCGAAGGGTCGTTTTCTTGCCAGTTTGAGTTATGAAGCAATGCTACTGTTCACCGAATCACCCCACCATTGTACAAGAAAAACAACTTTGTTGGTTCTTGCATGGGGAGACCAGAAAACTGTGGTTTGAAAAATACCCCCTGAGATCCCTCGGTGATTGTGATAAATTGGGTTTCAGTGGTTAAAAAATCGTTCTTATTTGGAGGCTGGGGAGGGGCAGGGATGGGGGCCCTAGTCAAATAGGCTCAGGAAGAACCTCACTGGGGTGGGTAGCTATGTTAAACTGTTCGTGGAAATGATTTGCTACAAAGGAACCTGGTAGCTGAGAGCACAGTGATGGTGGACAGGAACTCCCAGAGGAGACTGAGAAGGCTGAACCCAGGTGTTTGGAAGGTTAGGGACAAGCCCTAGCCCGAGGAGAATTTAATCCTTACGGCAGCAGGGAGGCGGGAGAGAAGGCACACTCTTGTGACAAATCTTGACTGACAGCATAAATTATTCTCTATGATCAGTTCATCTTTGGCTACATATTCATACTTTGAAACAAGAGATTTATCTGTACAATTTCATAGCATTTAAACTAGGAGCTGGTTTATCCACATCATACCCAAAAGAATTCGGTTCTCTACATCTTGCATTCCTTCCAGCTTTTATCAATATGTAGGTTGAATCCTCTGAAAAGATCAATGAGTTAGTTCCTATCCAGAGTTAACCCCGGATTGGAAATAAGTGTTTCTACAATATTTGAATATTTGCAAGTCACTTTAAAATCTATGCATGTGAGTTATAGCAAATTTTCTGCATTCTGCAGCCCCAGACATTTAAGATTTCCAACCCTTCGCATGGAAATGCAAGCCTCATCCCTTTAAGAATTGTAGTTGCTTTGATGGACTTTGCATGGTGGTACAATGTGAACACATTGCCTATTTAGATTGTCTAATTTCCCTTAAAAAATGTCCTATTTTAAATTTTCATCTCACAGTGAACTTCATGTGAGAGGAATATGCCTGAACCATTCCCGTGTTTAATTCATTCACTTGTGAATTGCATCTGTTCTTAGGTAGCCAAACTGAAGGTACTTTCAGTTCTCATAGCAGACACAGAAGAACATTGATCAATATGTGCCTCATCCCTGAAGGATTAATAATAACAGTAGTCTTAAAGCTAAGATTAGTTAACTTTCATTTCAGAAATTGTTTGGGTCTCATGCCTATTACTTTTATCTTGCTTGCCAAAGTAGAAGTTTTGCAAACCCCAGTTTCCCTTTTCTCCCAAAGAAAATCTCTTGAGAAATCAACTTTAATTCCCTCAGAAAGGAGGATTTCAAAATTTATTTTTATTTTCCTGAGACTTGCCTGTAAGGATTTTAGCCTTTGCGCTGCGTAGGAGCGCATGTTCATTGGCTTCAGTTTTCTTCCACAATCTTTGCAAGTCAGGAGAGGCGAGTTCTCTTTCTTATGCAGGAAGATAATGCTTGCATTTTGTGTAAATTCTCCAGCATTTTTCTTCCTTAACAAGTGAGAAGTGTAAGAATCAATGAGCTCCATCAGTTCCAGAGGATCTGTTTTAAGTCTTTTTTTGCTTTCTTCCCAACAGCTTGAGTACACCAGGTCCTGAAAGTTTTGAGTTACCTTTTGTAGTGGCCAAAATGAGAAAAAAATGGAAAATGGGAGGCACGAAAAACATCTTTTCCTTGTTGCTGTTCTTCCTTTTCCTCGAAGGAAGCAAAACCGAACAAGTGAAACGTAAGTGTCTTGATTTTGAAAAACAAGATGCTTTCTTGTAATTTCTTTGAAAATGTGGTTATAATCTGGAGCGATTGTGATTTAGCCCAAATGTGGCTATGCCATTGTTCTAAGAGAAGAAAGTTAATGTTACTGGTTTATGCATGAGTTGATAAAAGAATGAGAGCTTTGAATCGGGCCAACTAAATTTGGGGCTGTTTTTCTGATTATCATATATAGTTGTCATCTCATAGAACACATGACACATTAGCCTATTTTCCTTTTCCTGTTCTAAACTGTACAAATCTCATTCCATTTTACGTAACTCTAGAAATATCCGACAGATGAGCTGGATTTTTTCCCAAATTTCAGATTCTTCAGCAAAGGTTTTCAGTTTATGAAAAAGAATAACACAGAAAAGAAGAAAAAATAAAGCAGCTCTGCCTATTCCCTTATGCCGAAAAACGAAGGGGGGGAAAACCTTCACATGAACTGGATGCAGATGAAAAATCCTTTGAGGAAATTGAGATTCCAGGGACCATGAGCAAATTGGATGCCATTTATTGAAAGGAACGTCCCTGCAAAGCCAGGGAATATTTCTAGAAAGTCAGCGATCCGTGTGATGGGCTAACACATTGGAGAAAAGCAGAGTGGCAGGAAGGGGGGATAATTAACCCTTTTTGCCGCCACATTTGGGAGCTTTATGAGTAACTGTTGACATCTCTGCTCTTGTTAGGGGCTTTCTGCTGCTTCTGCACAATGTGAACCTCACCTTATTTGGGCCACTTGCAGCCACCTCTGAAATGGACACTTGCTCTAAATTTGAAGGAAAAATTAGAGCTCTAGTTCCACTTTTTGGCTGCATCAAAAGAAGCAAGAAGTGGAACTGGTCCAAGAGGGACATTGTCTGCTCCACTGAACTTATTCATGAGAAGGAACTGAGAAAATATTCTGGGTAGGAACTGAAACAGCATCTGAAGTCCATCACTGAAAGATTTATCTCTTTTATCAGCATACGTGAAATAGATCAGGCATGAGGCTTGCTGACAGGGAGAACAGTGCCACACCTATTCTTTAATGTTTCTGTCCTCCTGTGATTTTCATAGTAAACTTAGCCTTCTTCCTGGGAGAAACCATGCTTTTTTTTTAAGATTTATTTATTTATTTATACAAACACTGGGTACAGTCAGAAGCCAGAAGCGCAGGAGGGTGAGCAAATTCACCAGAGCCAGAGCGGGGAACAGAACAAGCAGACTGACGAAGAAATACACTGCTGAGGGGAGCAGCGGGCATGGCAGGAGAGGTCTGTCGCGCCATGTGGGACCCTCACCGGTGGCCAGGGATCAAGCCAGAGCTACAGAGGCTGTGGGCAGCTTCGCAGCCCAGCGCTCAACCTCTGCACCACCAGGGGAGGCCCGAGAAACCATGCTTTTGATTAGACTTTTCTGCATGACTGATCTATGATGATATCTCGTATGATTGGGACATAAGAGGAACTTTAGCAGGGCCTGATCCCACCAAGGAAACGTGGATGAGTCTCTCCACTAGTATTCCTCCAACAATCTCCTCCTTCCACTTGAATATGGTTCATCTCAGAGCCCTCTTTTTCCAGAAGTTCTCCCTATTTTAAGTGTCTAGGATAGATAAGTTGTCCAACTACTCTCAGCTCAGTCACAATCAGCTGGACTTAAAATCTTTCCTCCAGTAAAAAGAAACTTGCATTATGGCCTGTTACTGATGGCATCGTGGGGGAAACTTGCAAGTCTTAGAAGACCATCTCTTCTGGGAACTCGTCCATATTTATGAAGAATTGAGAAACATTGACAAACCAAAGAAAAATATGGCTTAAAAATATTTGTAGACCAAAAAATCTATCACTTTCTGGCATTTTTTTCTGCTTATGAATTTGTCTAAAGTCCTTTTGGTAGTCTCTGGGTGTCAAAGTGATTTTGTAACAGATGGCCCAGGACACTAGTTCTGGTGTAGCGTTTTAGATTTATGGTCAGATGATGAGGCTAAAAGTCATGGTCATTCCCTGAATGAGCCACTTAGCATCATTCTGTGTGGCCACATGCAAACTATCTCAAGATATGTGTATCATCATCTCCACTAAAGGGACATTCTCAAAACATAGATCCTATGTATATTGCCCTTACACACAGGTGCACACACACAATATATGCACAGAGATTTATGTTGCAGCCCTAACAGTGAGCAGCAAGAAGCTGTGGAAATGTCAATCCATAAAGGAAATAGCTATATTAATGACCCATACAATCCATCTTATCATGCTGCCATTACAAACATTGCTTATTGAAAATGTTATAGCACTAAAAATGCTATGTACAAAATGATATGAAAATATGTAAGCTTTATAAAGAATTCCTCACCCCCATTACACTCTCCAGATGTAACCATTACTAATAGTCTGCTATGTGTTCTCCCAAACTATATTATAAAAGCTTACATACATGTCTATCCAGTTTTTCTTTTACAAAATGGAATATTATATATATTTTTTTCTTTAACTTGTTTTTATTCAACAAAAATATGTCAAGTATATCCTTCCATGTCAGAACATTGCCATATAATAGGGCCATATTCTTTCCAATGCCTGCAGTTTCCAATTGCATAAGTGTGCCATGGTTTATTTATCCAATCCCTATTTATAGATCTTTAGGTTGCTTCCAGTTTTGGCATTACAAATAAGGCATTAATGACCACCTTTAGGTATTTTGTCAAGTATTTGTGTGGAATTGTTAAGTCAAAGTGTATGTTCAGTTTTAATCTTTGTAAATACTGTCAAATTGTCCTTCAAAAAATTGTGTCAGTTTATATACCATCTATATATGAGTGCCTATTTCTAACTTCTTAACCAAAAATATTATTAATCTGTATATTTGAGGGCCAGTTCAGTAGGGAAATCATATTTCAATTTTGCTTTGATATTTTTCTATCACAGGAGCATTTTTTCGATTATTTTTAATTCAACTGTATTTCTTCAGTAACTTGTCTATTTTTCAGTTGGGTTTGCCCTAGCTTATTTATTAACATTTTGTTATTTCAAAATTTTTTCTTAACCTTTGCATTTTAAATATTAATTCCCAAGTCTGGAATTTGCTTTAAACTTAGCTTAGTTTATATTTTCCTTACAGAAGTTTTGTGTAGTCAGAACGGTCATTCACTCCTTTATCATTTCTAGATCTCTGATTATTCCCAAGAAGGTCTTTCTCACTGCATATTCTTATATTTCCTTCTGCTTTCATAATTTGGGTATGGTGTGCAATAGAAAATTGATTTCTAAAAGTAATCTCTGGATGGTAGGTTCATAAATGTCATTTTGTGTTTCTTCTACTTTTTTCAAAATTTACACAATTGACAAGTATTACCTTTACAATGCGGGAAAAGCCCTTCAAATTAAAAGCAATTCTCATTTCCCATATTTTTGTTATTTAATTCTAGGGAAGGTTTGGTATGGAAGTGAAAGAAAAAGTTTTTTTTTTTAATCGAAGGAAAAAGAAAACTGGGAAAACCTCAGGAAATATGTAAATGTAAGGATAATAAACCTTTGTACCTTTCCTTGTTGCCGATACCTTCACATCTTTCCTTGCTTCCCCAGGAAGCCAAGGATTTTGGTTCTTCGTTGGCTGTTTCAAATATAAGCTTCTAGGTCAGGAAGGGTGCCTGTAGCCTGTTTGCTCTCCTATTTCGGGGATCAGGGTAGAATGAGGTGGGGGACAGCATTATGATCAAAGATGCTCACTCAGTTGGTGTAGAATCAGAAGAAGTCTGGAAAAAATACTCTATTTGTAGAAAGCTATTTTCACAAGGAAAGATCGAGGTGGGTGGTGCCACTTGCTAGTAGCTAATTAGCCATAGTTATACTTGCTGTCATAAGGACAGGCTCAAGAAACCAGGAAATGCTGAGGGTGCATTGCTATAGATGAAGGAGTCATTCGTTGCTTATATAGAAGTTTGTTACTGTCCAGAATCCACAAGGTTTGAGGTCTTTAGCAGGGAAAAGGTTTTTCTGTAACTCCATTATGCTGTGTTGTTCAAGTTGTAGTCAAAGGGGCTAAGAAGGGGTCTTTTGAAGTTCAAAGGAGCAACATTCAGTGGATAATATTCATGCAAATATAGGACAAATGGGATGAAGTGTTTGTCCTTTTGGCAGATCTGACTTAGGTAATGAACTGTTGCTCAAAGGGAGGTCGAAGAATTGAGTTGTTGGGAAGATTCAATTATCTGTTTTGAACGGGCTAACTTGTGCCAAGTCTGACAAAGTTTCTGGGGAGACAAATTGTACATGTGCTTCGTGGCACCCATTACTAATTTATAAGGTGCATTAGCTGGACCTTCTGAGGACTAGATTTTCACCCATTTTTCTTTTCAGTAAAAAAGCTTCCAGCATTCAAATTTGGCTCAAAATAGGCCTCTGAACTTCTCAGGAAGAGTGAGGCACCAAAAGATAGAAGGGAAGAAGGTGCTGAGAAAATTTGAGACATGTGAAGCAAGGCCTTGTGGCATCTGCTCACCTCTCTGTCTGTTCAAAAGCCAACGAGAAAGACTTGCATTTTCTTCTCTCATATTGTCACTTGGACATTTCAGGTGACTATTTGACAGTAGGAAGGAGCAAGCAAAAAGAATAGACCTATTTATATCTTAGAAGTTTAAGTAGGGAGAAGAAATACCTTAGTAGAAAATGTCTTAAAATCAGTAGCTTCATGTTTTAAAAGTACTTTTTAAATTAGTTTTTATATTGGGGAGTTGAGGGCAATGGTGTTGGGTGTGGAGAATCTCAAGTCAGCTTAGGTCCAAACTCCAGTTCCATGCTGTTCTTGTGCACCATGTAAATGTTAATTAACCTCTCCAATTTTAGTTTTCTTTTCTTTTTTCTTTTTTTTTTTTTTGCCTTTACAGGCCCCACCTTTCAAAGTGGTTCATCAATTTTTGTTTTTAAGATTTTTGTTTATTTTTGCATACAAGAGCTGGGGTGTAGGCCAGAGGTGCGGGGGATGAGA